TAGTAGTTTCTAAAGAGCTACACTAACCCAAAGCCTGTACAAATTTATAGAGTGAGTGTAATCAAGGGATTAACAGTCCTTAATGGTCGTTCTAATCCCTAAGCCTAATCCTCATTAAGCAAAATTCGCAATGTGAACTAATCAATTATGTTTTGTTTCGAAGTAATTAATCAAGAAAATGTCAGTATTTCATTTAAAGAATATGTATTGAGTAAATGAGTTATTAAAATTCTAATACAGTATATCTAAAGTCTAAATATGATTATGCTTCTAAATCCAAGTGCACAGAACCAAAACTAATAACAGGACACTTTCTAGGTTGATCACTTATTTCACACAGTTGCCCGCTGAAACCATTTTTACATGAACAAAACCAAGAATAACCAAAACATGAGCATGTACCTTGTGAATGAATAATAACAGTTTGATATTAAAATAATAGATTTTCTTTTTCTTACCTCCATTCTTGCAATTGATAACTTTTTTACACAAATAATCAGAATCTCTACCGATTTGGAAGTAAGGACCAGAAATGCCTGGTAAGCCCATAGGACCAGGAATACCTTGTGGACCTATAGGACCAGGAATACCTGGCGAACCTTTAGTACCAGGAGTACCTTTTGAACCTTTAGGACCAGGAATACCTGGTGGACCTTTTGGACCTGGAACACCCGGTGGACCTAGAGCACCAGGAATACCTTGTGAACCAGGTGTACCTTTTGGACCTTTAGGACCAGGAACACCTCGTGGACCTTTAGGACCAGGAAAAAACTTGTAATAGTGTCATAAGATAGATGATTTATTTATTTAGAAATCTATACCTTGCAAACTTTTAGGTGTAGGAGTAGGAGCTATTTGACATTGACGCCCACTGTAGCCATGTTTGCATGAACAGCACCAAAAAGTACCCTTTTGAATGCATATACCTTTAAAACAACTTTTAAAGTGTTGACATAATTATTATTATTATTTCTTACCTCCATTATTGCATTTATAGCTTCGACAATCTGGAAAATTAATTTTAGGAAATGGCCCAACAACGAAAACACTTAAAAAATGATAAAGAAAAAAAAGACTTATAAAATATATTTGCAAGTTTTTAATCTTCAACATCTTTCTGACTGAAAGTTCGATGAAATCGATTATGGCAATGGAAGAGCCTGTCAACCTTTTATAACCCAAAGCATAAATGCCCTAACCAATAGATTATTGGTTTTAAATCTGCTTATCTACTTAAATCCTAAATTGAGCATAATCCAGATGATAAATCCTAAATTCTTTGTAGATTTTTTAAAACTTAACAAAGACTTTGCTAAACATTATAGTGTTCCTATTCAAATTTTCCAACAAAGTGCATTAAGTCTTTCATTGTTGAAATGACCTTTTCACCCTGATTAAAATTCGGTTAAGTCTATCTCTTTCGTGCATAAGGGTTTTGTCTAAAGAGACTTACTGAGAGAGATAAAGGCGGATATGTTAATTAATTCAGCAGAATGAGAAAAGTTTGAGCTATTGTTCACACATCTGAATTTGTGTCAAGAACAATTAAATCATAGCCAATTTTTGTCCTTACATTTGTTATTAGCTTATCTGTTCTCAAGGCATAAAATGCTGGCCTATCTTCAGTTGCATTTAGTCGGAATCCTGCAATGTATATAGATAGTCTTGATGACCTTGCACTTCCTACATACATATTTAACGCTATTCTGTCACTTGCATTCAAGTGAACAATGACGCCCCTGGATACTTGATTAGCAAATGGACCGGAATGACGTTTTACAATAGATCTTTCAATGGATCTTGAAGCATCATTTATTACCAAGGTTATTGTACAAGAACGTCTACTAGGAAATCCAGTACCAAAACTGATAAAATACCATCCATCCGTTGACATAGTTATTTAATTCCTAGCACTTGCATAAACACTCCTCTGATAGTTACAATGTATAGAAGAGGGATTGGTACTCTTTGTAATGTATGATCATTATTTCTACCAGCAAAGAATACATTATCAGAATCGTAATGAAAACCAGTCCAAGATGTTTCGGACCCATTTTCACTACCAATAATCACATTGTTATTATCTGTATTTGAGAAAGGCCTATTGAGAGAAGTTAGCAAACTATACTTGCAATTTTTTAACAATACCGTAAACAAAAGTCCAGGAGGGCATTGCTGAGCATGAGGTGTACCATTAATACAATGATAATAAATTCCACAGTTGTCGGGATCGGGATATGATCCATCAATTGGCTCTAGATCAGTATTCAGGGGACAAGAAAATTGACTAGTTAAACAAATTTCAACTAGCCAGATTACTGTAGCAGAGAGAGAGAGAGGAAAAGACAAGAAGAGAATAAAAAGAAGAAGAAATATTTCTACTTACAATTTAAGATTATACTTAAAGATTTCATCTTAAATTTTGTAATGATGGAACAAGAATTGTTTTCATTTATATAAACTATTTAGATGAGTTATCACTATCTTTTTATCAGTATATGTGAACTAAGGAGGAGGAAGCAATCTAAGGGATAGGGATAATCGAAAAGGCTAGGTACAGCCAATAGCTGGGTTAGGGTTAGGGTAAAAGCAGTGACTTGTGTATATTTTCTGTCGCATCTCTCAAATAATATTTCCATTGCTCCATAAACTACTCAACCTGTTGGGATTAGTATAATTTATGTAAATATATAAAGCAAGTCAATTAGGATAATCTAAAGAATATTTAAATAAACAAAGATTTTATTTAACAGTTGAACAATTAATTATAATTTCTCTTCTCAATCTTCACCTTTGCAATTGATTATTCTTATGATTAATGTTTGCCATATTGAGATGTGTCTGCTGAAAATTCTTGCATCCTTTTTTGCAATTTCAACATCCCTGGAAAAATCTCGTTATCGGTTGTTTATAAAACTTGAAATTGATAGGAGAGAAAGCGTTGAAGGAGAATTAAAAGCTAAATCTCTTTCGAATGATATCTATTTTATAAAATATCCAACATTTACAATTGAAGAAACTAATGCAGTTTGCAATTCAATGGGACACGATTTAATTCATTCGGTAGGCCTAATTTGCAGGTTGAAATTTCACAGACAAGTAAATTTATCAGTTGAAAACAAAACTGGTAGTTTTATAGTTCTGAAGAAGCTGAAAAATCATTTGACTTGCTTTTTGAAAGTTATAGAAGGTATGATAAAAATTCTTTTATTTATGTAGTTATATCATCAGAAGAGAGTACTTGTCTGCAATATTTTAGATTTCAAACTGGAATTGCTGGGTAAAGATGAGAAGAGATCATACGCTTATTTAAATAAGTATAAAAGATATGCATTTCAGGATATAAGCCCAAAATTATGGTTATAATCCCGTACTGCAATTTTAAAAAGATAATAGGTGAATCTGGGAAAATCTTATGAAATGATATAATCAAGTTTTTCCCATCATCTCAAGGTGAAAGTATCTACAGACTATTTGAGAATGAGAAAAGTATTTTGTCCCTTACTAACAAGAATCATTCACTCGAAAGTTTCATTGGGCACTTTCAAATGGTCATTAGGAGAAAATGGTCAGATTTTGATGATATTCAGAAGCGGAATCGTTCAAACAATCTTGAAAAAGGTTCATCGATTACCTTCTTTTCCAACACTCACTTTAAACAGATCCTTTTTGCCCAGGAGATGGCGCTTTCAGAATCAGCAATGTCTGCTACAAATTGAGATTAAACAAACGTCAAATATCAATTGGAGACATGGAAGATCAATGCAAAAGAGAAAACCTTACGATAGCTGATTTTCCTGGAGATAATTTCCAAGTTCTTACTTTCTTTCAATTCTACAACCAATATCTACTGGATGCAGAGGAATTGGACAAAAACTCTGAATTTAGCCTATACTATAGTGAGTAGAATAAATAATGTACTCTATTCAAACAATGGTTAACTGGATAATTTTTAAAAATAGGGTTGAAAAAGCAAAAATTCAATAACAAAGACATTAGCCTGACACCTTCAAATATACCTTTTGCATTCTTTTCAACATTTAACATACATTCTGAAATAGTAAACATTCCAATATTTCTTATCGAAAATTCTATTTAAAAACTATCCATCTAGAAACAATATCTATCTGGTTATTACCTCCAGCAAGACGTTAGTCCCACTTTGGGAAACTGCATTGAAATATCCTTTGTATGTAGTTGTTTAATAATTTACAAAATATTTCATTATCCCCATTAATCCTATTCCAGTTCCTCAGGGATATTTATTACCTTCTGGCTAGTTGCTGATAACAAATTATTTTCCAACAAAACTGTTTTGTTTTTTGTAATTATTATTTATTTTGAAATGTTTAAATAAAGTGTAAAAGTTCACTTACTTAAGCTCCATTTCAAATTGAATACATACACACCAAAATCATCTATTCACATTTTGCACTTCACTGTCATTGTAATCTTTTCAACAGTCATCTCACACAAACCAAGACAAATTGTATGTTTTTATAATCCAATTCAACAATTTCTTCTTCTGTATTGCTGTAAGTTGATTGGAAGTCAATATTTAAACGTTTTGGATTTCCACCAACATCAGCTGCAAAAATGTTTTAAAAAATTCTAAACTCTTTTGAATATTTCCATCATTTACAGCAATTTTGAAAGAATGATCTCATTTGAAGAGGATTCCAACCTAATAATTCAAATGAGATATCACATGTACAATTTAATTCCTTAGCTCTCCAATTACGAGACCAAATTGCAGTTTGAATATCAGGTATTGGATTTTCCAACAAAGTATAAAGAGGGTGGTTTGTTTGATATAACTGCAGTTTGCGGTAGCATATGTTTGGCATGTGACGTGGCCGCCTAACAAACTCCATCCTCCTGGGATGCAGCTCAACCTTTGATTCATCAGAAAAAATTACTTTTTTCCAATTTTCAATCCCCCACTTTTCTCTCTCTACAGAATTCTCTCCTACTTATTATCTGCCTGTTGGATAAAGCAACATGATTTTAATTCAGTGGGCGTTTTCAACAGGTTAGTGGGTATTTTCAAATTGTCCATCATCAATTATATATCTACATTTCTCTACTTCAGGATAGATCGACCAGATGCTTCGATAGCTACAGTAGATAGTGTGGGACCAACTGTAATTGGACAAGATCCTTGAATAATCACAGTTACTAAAACTGATTCCATGGATTCTTTTCTCATAGATGCAACATGCACAGCATCTGGAAAAACATTCCATTCTGAAATGCCAGTTTACTTTTCAGGCTCTGCTCCATCGCCATGGGCATCTGCAACAGGAGATCCACACTCCGCACAAAAAGTTGTTGACAAATCCACAATGTCTACTAAACAAATATGTTATGATGTAACTGGGCAAATGGGAGATTATATATATATTGCTGGATATTCTGACAGTGGAATAAAGGTTTTTGGCCAACTGAAAGATGATTATTATATGCATCAAATTGTCATTTAATCTCCATCTGCCAATGTCACTGTATCATTAAATAATATTCTCCTTGGCGGTAAAAATACAATTGAATGGAGTGATAATTCAAAAGAAATGATTATGCAGACTAATCAATTGAAATTTGAAATTGTAAATGGCCAAAAGATTATTTTTACTGAATTAAAATCATCAATTGCCATTGCTGTTGAAAAATCTAACCATTTTTTAGGGGAAATGCACCTGGATGTAAACTTTAGGCTTATGCCTAAAGATTACAATGAAATGAATGGACTAATCGGAGATATTGGCAAGAAACAATTTACATTCTTCTCACCAGTCCAAATTGGGGATGATAGCCTGAATAATGAAATCGCTTCTGTTCAAGTTGACAACAATTTCTTAAAAGGAAGTGTTGTACAAAGAAATAAAAATTCTTGTTGGTTGCTTGATGTAAATGATATTCTGAAACCTTTGAAGTTAACTGATTATCTATTCAAAAGAATTGATTAACATTCATATTAGTTTAATGATTTTTAGAAAGTACTCAAGTTAACACTGAATATATTTTTCATATTTGAAAATGTACTGTCAAGTTAAGTCTTTCTAAAATTTAATAATCACATTTTCTGATAAAAATAACAATCTACACTGTAGAAAATATATTTTATTAAATGTTTTGAATGATGGAGACATAAATGCAGACTAAACACAGAATACACTATGATTGTATTTAATCTTTCCATGAGAGATGGCTTATCACTCATTTTTTTTTTGATGAATATTTCAGAATGTTTACTGAATATACTGTATATTAATAAACAGTCTAATTAATACAAGCATAAAACTAGGGGGTTGACAGAAAATGTCCATAAGTAAGAAATTGTTAGGGAGAAGAAGACAGCAACTGATTTATACTTAGGAGGGTCTCCTCTATGGGTTAGGGGTAATGGAATATATATATATATACATTTTTTTATGACACTACACAACTCTTTGGACTCAGTCTGCTTTATATTTATTCTTTGCTTGTAGATAATTAGGTGAAGAAAGTACCTTTCATGAAAATGTGAGCAATACTAAAAAGATGATCATAACCCATTTGGAATCAAAGTTAATTGGTTAATTTAACTGCTAAAGTAGTATAAACCGTCTGATATGAAATACAGTGACTGCCAAGACTATGTCCATGCCAAATGCATCAAAGGTCTCTGACTGTTCATATGTTTTTATTCAATTATTCACTTTTTTCATTTTTAATTTAGAATCTCAAAGAGTATTGACCAACAATTGCTATGCTTTTAATATAAAATCCAGAAGTGACAAGAGAACCATCTGGAGATGTTCTGTTAGAAATAGGAATGTTCAATGTCAAGTTATTATTCAACAAAAAGGAAATATTTTCATAAATAGTAAACATGAACACTGGGCCGACAGAAAACGTCCCCAAATGAGATTTTTGAAAGCAACATTTCGGATTGAAAAATGGTTAGGAGGGATAAAGTAGCTTTTGATTTATAGTTAGGGGGGTTCCATCTAAGGGTAAGGAGCAATCAAAAAGGTTAAGGAGAGACAAGGGCTAGGTTAGGGTTAGGGTTAAATCATGAATTTGGGGACGTTTTCTGTCGTATCCCATGAACACAACCATAACAAAAGAATATCAGAGGAAAGTGTGATCCAGATGCAAAACCAAATATTTGCTGTTTGGGATGAATACAAATTGGGAATGATTACATTTGCTGACCTCTTGCTGAAGATTGCATTTCATAAGGGGAATATATTTCAAACTGCCAAAAATTCTGAAAGATTGCAGATAAAATGTGCACAATATTCACTTTCCATGAAAAACATAGAAGATCCTAGAACTGTTTCCTGTCTGGACTTCAAAATGGCTACCAAAAGTGATTGCATTATGAGAATGTATTGGATAAGTTGAATAAATTTTAAAAAAGTGTTTTTAAATGTTTTCTTCACATAGCAGATGTTTTCTCCAATCAGTGGACGTTTTTTCCAGGGGACGTTTTCTTCAGTGGACATTTTCTCCATAATTCAAAAAAAAGTCTTTACAATGAAAATGAAAATTAAACTGAATTCTAACTGAACATAAATCTTCTCCAAAGTATCTGAAGATGATTCTAAAACTTGAAATACTTCATTCAATGATTCATACATATAAGAATTATATTTTAAATTAATTTCTCCTACCCTGTTTTTGCAAAAGTTTTCTTCAATAATTCATGATATATTCTGAAAAGTTCCTATCATTGTCAGGTTTACACCAGGTGGTGCTGTAAAGAAAGTAAAATGCGCAAAAAGTCTTCCAGGTCTTACGCCCAAAATCCTCAAAATCACATGTGCAATGGAAAAAAGTTCTTGGGAATCTCCTAGATTCAATGTTGTAAGAGCTGGGCCTTTAAGAGTTGCAATGGTTTATGATGTCTCTACAAGCATGGTTAGCATGAATTTATGCATATATTTATGATGATTAAATTCCTCTCTTCAGCGCCAGAAACAGTTAGCAAGCTGCTTAAAGATTCTTTCTAAGTAAAATGGTATTTGGAGCCTTTGTTCTTACTTGTTTAAGATTCTGTTGATTTTTAATGAATATTCCTATTGGAGCTGCCGCAATAGTATCTTTTACATTTCCTAATTTGAGCACTTCAATGTTTGAACATAATTGAAGAGTTTGCTCGAATAGATTTTTCCCAATCTGACCAGAGATATCAGTCTAGCAGAAATTTAATTCTTTCAGTTGAGTTTGCTTGGAAAGAAACTCTCCCATGTATTTGCTCATATCTGGACAAAGAATACAACTACTAGAATCCAATAATTCAATACTACGACAATAATTATCGTTCAATTGGGATATTTCTTCAAATAAATGGATACCGACTCCTTCTTCAAAATTAACATTGCTGATAATTAGACATTGTAATTTTGTTTGATGACCAATAAATGCTCCCAGGGGACTAGCCATTTCATTAGAAAATAGACATTTCGTCAGATCTAAATGCTCAATATTGCGGCAGGAGTTTTGAATATTTGAAAATAGACTTTTTCCAACTTTGCCACTAAGATTTGTAAAACTAAGATTCAATCTGATAAGTTTATTCTGAGTTGATATAAATTCCCCCAAGGAGGCGCTGATATCAATTGTTATTAAAATCTTTTTTAGAATAAGCTCTGTCAGTTGGAAATTGGCTGGAAAGAATTTAGGTAGCAAATTTTCCTCTTTAATTATAGGCATAATGAATGGTTAAAACCAATAGAAATTGACTTTAACTGTCTTTGATGTTGAAGAAACTGTTCAATATATTTACAAAATTCTTCATCAGTAATTTCATCAATACTGAAATTTGAAATGAATGACATATTACGTAAGAAATCTTTAATTTGCGATAATCCTAGTTTATTCTTTAATCCTTTGCTTATCCTTATACTTTTTATATTAATATTGTCAGTTTTTTGAAGTATTGTTAGCATATTAGCAGAGAAACTATGTCTAAATCGGCTACTTCGTATTCAATAATCTGCGAGAATATCTTGTAAATTCTCTCTACAGCAATTAAATTAAATGAATTACTATTTAGAAATTCATCGGAGAACATTTGATCACTCGATGAAACAATTTTCAACGAGTTCAACAGAAACATATCTTTACATTTTTTCAAATTGGTAACCAAATCTAAAGTGATGTCTAGAGTTAATTTCTGTTCAAAAAGATATAAATGCCTTATTCCAAAATTCAATTTTACCAATTTGTCAAAAAATGATTTCATAGCTTCATTTTCAAAATGATTTTTCGAAAGATTCAAATGTTCAAGTGTTGTGAATTTATGCATATTTTTTGTGAATGTACATAAAAATCTTGATGTTAATTGGCAATTTGTAAAACGTAGTTGAACTATTACTTTCCAACAAGATTTACTTGAATGGTTTAAATCAAGATTCAATGAGAAAAGAGAAATGAACTCCACTCGATTGAGTTGTTGTAAGTTAAAATTTTCTTCGATAAAAAAAATTTTTGGCATTCCAAATTGATTTAGATTGCTAATCGACTTGAAAAATGAAGAGAAATCATTGACATTCGTTAATAAATTTCCTTCTATTTGTAAATTTTTCAAGTTTTTATGTTTTAATAATAAATTTTTGAATTCTTCCTGACTGATTTCAATATTACAATTATTCAATTTTAATATAATTAGGTCCTTAGCATGGTCCATAAGATAATTAAAAAGAATATTCCAATTGTGATTTTTCAATTTCAAACCACTTAGACCAATTTCATTTAATCTGCCATTTTGTTCTAAATTTTGAATTAAATTTGAAAAATTTGAATTGTTTATACCTTCAAAATAGCAAAGGAAGAGGGAGGTTAGGTGCTTTTGGCTCTTTAGATCATTCAATATATTTTTATCTAAAAGAAAAGGAAAGAATTTCTATTTTTAGAATAAATGAATCCATTTTTCACTTACGTTTGCATTTGGAGTAGGAGAGATCCAACTTTTTCAATTTAAAGAGGTATCCAATAAGAATTCAGCAGGTATAACCATACTACTCAAACATAAAACTCTTAATGATTTAACAGAGAATAAATATTTCTCCCATTTTTCTATTTGAATATTTTTCAAATGTAAGTTTTTAAAAATGAAAATTTTTTAAATATCATTTCAAATGATTGAAATGTCATTACGTAATCTGGAAAATCATTGATTATTTGTAAATGCTCAATTGTAGCCAGAAATGATTCTATTAGAGATTGAAATTTAAATAGAATGTTCTCCAATTTAAGCTTCTTTATTGGAGTTTTAGAATATTTTAATGTTATGAGTTCTAGATAAATTTCTCGCAGTTTAATATCTTTTAGATGAAGGGTGTTGCTCATTTCTGTATCGTTTAACAGTTTAATTACCATTTTATTGCTCACACCCAAAAGAGTAAGAAATTTTGTGTTATTCTTAACAATTTCCTTATAAGTTTGCAAGTCCAAATGTTCAATAAATCCCATGACGCTGTTTAATTTGAATATGACATGATTATCTGATGATTCCTCAGCCAATAGATTCTTTCCATTGCTATTATCTAAAATATAGTGATTAATTAAATATTTAGCTGCAATATACTCTTGGAATGTAAAATGAATAAATCTAAAGTATTTTTTCAGCCTATCAGGATGAACTGAAATTGTGGGTATGAGTAATCTGGCAAGATATTCTGTAGATTCTAATCTATCTCTATCAGATTCCACGACAAAATCGATATTTAATAGATTTTTAAGAGCAATTTCCCCAAATTCATCAATGAGTTCTTCAGCTTTGTAATTTAAATTTCTATTTTTTGATTTGTTGAATAGAATTTAAATGGTATCGTTGAAAATATTGCAGTGTTCCAGACTTGCTCCCTTCCTTTCCCAGATTTCAGCTGCAAGAATTGCAATTAAAGGACTTTTACAACATTCCAATAATTCTTCCCTTTCCACTTTTAGAAAATTATACAGTTTTGTACTTTGCAGT